CCAAGATATCAAATAAGCTTTTAGCATATTTTTAAATGCATGAGCTTCCATATTAAACCTAGAATCTATGCACAGTGTGCCAATACCTTTGTTCTTCACAAGAGGTGAGTTAGAAGACTCAAATGCGTTTATCTTCACAGCTGCTTCAAATCATGCACATCATTGATTTTCAGTGCTCTCTGTGCTACCAGGGGAGTCTTAGGAACTGTAGGTTTCCTTGAGTTGGAAATCCTGCTCCATATACCACCAAGCCTTTTAAAGAAATTCATCCTTTCAATTCTGTTCCTCTAGAACCAATCCTGGTACAACAATCTGTATTAGTCAGTTTTCTCTAAAGAAAGAGAACTGACAAAAATGCATATTTAAATATATATGTTTGTGTGTGTGTGTGTGTGTGTGTGTGTGTGTGTGTGTGTACGGCCCTTTATACAGGCTGCCATCAGAAGGTAATGTCCACATTTAGGAAGGATTTTCCAGCCTCAAAGGATCCAATCAAGAATGTCTCAGTTAATTCCAGGTAATTTCAGTTAATTCCAGATCCAGTCCAGTTGTCAACTAAGATGAGCCATCAGAAATTCTCTGTATAGTCTCATCACCAATCACTTGTCTGATGTATGTATATAAAAGGTTTTCTCTCCTTGTGTGGGCTGCCTCACCTCTGGATTGACAGTTTCCTTCACTGTGAAGAAGGTTTTATTTCATGAGATCCATTTGTCAGTTAGCCTTATTTCCAGGGCTACTGCGCTCCTCTTCAGAAAACCATGACCTACGCCTGTCTGCTGATGCATGCTGCCTCCTATTCCTCCAGCAGTTTTAGAAGACCACGTCTTATATTGAGGTCCTTGATGCATTTGGAGTTGAGTTGTGCACACAGTGAGAGATGGGGATGAGTTTAACTCTTCTGAATTTTGATACCCAGGGTTTCTTCAATGCTGGTTTTTAAAGATCCTATCCTTTTTCCAATGTATGTTTCTGGAATCTTTGTCAAAAAGGAGGTAACTATTTCTGCAGAGTAATACTCAGATCCTTCTTTCTATTCCATTGATTTGTGGGTCTGTTATTGTGTCACTACTATGCTGCTTTTTAATGTTATCTTTATTTTTTAGTTTACTTTTCTTTGATGTGTATAAATGAACTGCCTGCATGTATATAAGTGCACATGTGTCATGCATTGTCCCCAGAGGCCAGGAAAGGGCATCAGATATCCTTGAACTGGAGTTATGGACAGTGATTAGCCACCAAGAGAGTGCTGGGATTTGAACCTGGGTCCCCTGGAAGAACAGTCAGTGCTCTTACTTGGCTAGCCCCTATGCTGTTTTTAATTACCATGGCTCTGTAGTAAAACGAGATCAGGTATGGTGATACTGCCTGGCATTGTTTTTGTTCACGTTTGACTTGGCTCTCCTTTGTCTTTTCCATATAAATTTTGACAATAATTTTTCTGTATGTGTGAAGAATGGCCCTGGAATATAACTTTAAATTATTTATTTATTTTTATTTTATGAGTGCTTTCCCTGCATGTATGTAAATGCACCCACATGTGTAGTGCCTGCAGAGGACAAAAGAGGGCATCGGTTCCCTCACAGCTGGAGTTATGGATGGTTGTTCGTGGCACCATGGGTGCTGGGAATGGAGCCCATGGTCTTTGGCAGAACAGCCAGTCTTTTTAACCACTGAGCCGTCACTCCAGCCCTGACCCTGGAATTTTGATTGACATTGGAATTAAGCTGTAGATTGCTTTTGGTAGGATGGCCATTTGCACAAGATTAATTTTTCAGTTCTTTATCTTGGAAAGTCTTTTTATCTTCTGGTATTTTATTCAATTTCTTTCTTCAGAGTCTTAATGCTATCAGTGTAGACTTCTTTCATCCTTTGTTGGGTTTATGATGAGGTTTTCTGTGTGTGAGTTGCGTGTGTGTGAATTAAGCTGTAGATTGCTTTTGGTAGGATGGCCATTTGCACAAGATTAATTTTTCAGTTCTTTATCTTGGAAAGTCTTTTTATCTTCTGGTATTTTATTCAATTTCTTTCTTCAGAGTCTTAATGCTATCAGTGTAGACTTCTTTCATCCTTTGTTGGGTTTATGATGAGGTTTTCTGTGTGTGAGTTGCTTGTGTGTATGTGTGTGTGTGTGCGTGCATGCATGTGTGTGTGTGTGTGTGTGTAGCCATTGGTAGCCATTATGAAGGGGATTGTTTTCCTGATTTCTTTTCTGTATACTTGTTGACGGTACATAGGAAATGTACTAATTTCAGATATTCTCAATTTGTCTCAAATTTCAGGTTTGCTCTGCTCCTACTCTTGGGGTCTATTTAGGAGAGGGTTTAATGGGCTGCTGAGAAGAATGTGTATCGTTCTATGTTAGAGCACAATGTTCTGTAGATGTCTGTTTGATACTTTTGATTTATGGATTTTTCCTACTCCAATGTGTCCTTGTTCATTTTTGTCCAGACGACCTGTCTCTTGGTGATTGTGGAGTATTGAGCTCTCCCACTATTTGTGTGTTGGGGTTAATCTGTGGTTTTTTTCATCTAGTAGAATTTCTTTACAAAATTGTATTACTCTATCTTTGGTGTGTATATACTTAGAATTTTAGCATCCTCTGACCAATTGTTCTCTTAATGAGGAAGTGTTAAATCTTCTGGTGTGCTATTTGAGCAGATATGCCTGCTTGTTTTCTTGTTCCATGGTGGAGTAGCTTTTCCATTTCCTTATCCTGAGGTGGTGGCTATCTTTGAGAGCAACACATCTTTCTTTGAGGTAGCAAAAAGAGGAATCCACTTTCCTAATCCAATCTGCTACTCTGTATCCTTTATTGCAAGAAACTATGATCATCAATATTCAGGGTTATTATAGATAATGTGTATCAACTCTTGTTCTTTAGTTGATTTTGTGTAGTTTTCTTAGGGATTTTTTGATGAATAGTTTTGGCATTCTTTTTCTCTTCTGACATTTGCATGAGTTTATCCCTATCTTCTGTTCCTAGTATTCCTTCCAGTATCTTCTGTAGAGCAGTCTTAGTGGTCATACATTCCGTTAATCTGTGTCACACAAACCTTTTACTTCATCTTCAATAGTTTTGTGAGGTGTAACAGTCAATGTTGTCAGTTGTGAAAAAAATCTTTCTATCCCC